TGCAGTGCTGTCACCTGAGCCAGGTAGCAGGACAGCAAAGCATGAAACTGGAGAAAGACGAGGCGTTCTAGACAGACGGAAATGAAAGGTAACACTTCTCTCATGCCCAGTTTTCAAATTGCCAATGTTTGTGTACAGACTATCATGTCAGCACAAAACAAATGAATGTTGTACTTTTGTTTGCACTGAGATATGACTGTGTGAAAACACACCTGACTAGGCCACACAACTGCAGCTTTCACACTCTGTTTAGTAAGGCTAAGGCAGGTGTGTGCCCTTACAACTGCGCAGGAACTGGCTGGTGTATCGCCTTAAATGGCACTACTAGATTGTTCACCTGTTCTTGAAGTTCTTAAATTCTATCACTGCTGCCAACATGAAAACTATTGGTGGACATTTTTAAGTTGCCTTCAACTTGATCAACAAGTTTGAGTCATCACACCATTTGAAAATTTAAAGTGATGAAAATGGCACTTAGTTTTGACAATGATGGAACGGGGTGGATGGAGAGCTTTGAGAGTGCAGCGGAAAAGAAAACCTGCTATTGGCTTCAAATTCTTATTTTTATATAAATTATAACCAGTTTCTTTTTGATATGGGTTCCAAGGTCTTGCAAGGACATCTACCTTTTCCAGGAGCCACAGATGGGAGATTTAGCTATCAGCCCACTTCCATATCTGTCTGTACCCTTCATTCCCTGAATCTCACACCCCAGGCCCTGATGGTGGAAATGTCATGAAGATTGGCAAAAATGATGTCCTGCCCTCCCAAATGACCATTTTTACTTCTGTCAAGCTAACATCCTGTGAAAGACATCATGGGGACTGGGGGACATCCTGTCTACTAAATCGAAGAAAACAGAAATGCTCACTGAAGTAATAAAAGTTGTGTCTGTACTGACTCTCCCTCAATCAAGTTCATCAACAATTTTCTTAACTACTACTAATTCTCTAAACTATTCTCCTACTTGGAGAGACAAAGCTTAATCTAAATGTAAGGTCCACTTTACTGAGCTCTTCCCGGAGCTGTCAAATGAATTTCACGCCTTCTTTCAGCAAATGGACCTTGGTCAGGTGTCATCTCTTGACCAAAGTACCTTTCATTCACCAAGATCACATGCCAGAGAAAGATCACATCCGACACCAGAGACCATTCATGAATAGAGATATGGGTTATGATCCCCCCCCTCCAAGTACAGTATACAACTGCCAGTTATCACTCGACTGAGGTCCTCCACTTGGGTCATGTGATGACACCTGAGCAAGTTCTACTTGCTGAAGGAGGCTGTAGCGTATTATTGAAAGACCTGGGAATAGCTAAGTTAAGTGGACTTTCTATCTTCCACACAGTAAATGCAGCATTTTGTTTGGAATGTGAAGGAGATGAACTAGATAGGACCAGTGGCAACAGCCCCTGATGGCTGGATAGACCAATATCAGTATGATGTGAAAACCCCACAACAGTGACTGCCTAGTTGCAAATTCAAACCTGTGGATTTCTCAGGGGTTACAACATGTTCATCTGAGCATAGTGAGTAAAAGGCAGCTGGACTTGCTGAGGATTCTTGAAAATGTTTCACCATTCATCCAATAGGCTTAATTAGTTCTACTGACTCTTGGGGAGTTCTGTGGTATTTAACTTCTCCGGGTGATTAAATACAGAGAAACTCCCCACCAGTCAGTAGAACTGATGAAGTCTGCACGATGAACATCAGACTTTCTTCCAGACCAGACAGATATTTCCAACCTGGATGACAGAGAATCTTTATAGACATATGAGCAATACTGCACTGCAAAAGCAATATGCACAGTCATGTTTGGTCTGCTTAGGGATGATTCATTCCCATGGCATTTTCCAAATAATGAATTTCAAAGCTTTTTTATCTACAACTCTTGAAATGTCAACTAGAAAGTTTACAACACTTTCAGACACACCCACAGTAAATAATTAGGGAAGTGCAAGAAACAATGTATTTTCAGCATATGGCATGTCCTTTTTAAAGCAGCCGCAGTCAGCACATTCAGCACACTCAGCATAAGCATCTCAACCCACAACCTCGACTTTACATCTCCTACCCTGGAGCCTCATGACAGCATGTCAAGGAGATGTAGTGAGTGATGTCCTGCCTTCTGTCAGGTGAATGGACAGAAATGGAGGGCGGGAGTGGCATGAAAGAGGTAGAGACCTGGTAAGGGAGGAAGGGTATATAAAGGGACGGGTGGTTGGTGAGAGATAAGGAATAATGCTCTATTACATCCTCGTGGCATGTTATTATCAGCCGAGCCCACCAGTGCACGTATTTATAGTTAGACGGACAGGCACAGCATCAATCAGTGATGTGTCACACCCTGTAATGACAGGAAATGGTTGTGGTCTGGGTCTGTGGGCTGCTGACTCAATGATACAGGCTTAAAAAGGCCATTAACTTTAGCATTAATTAATTGCGTCATGAGTAATGGTGGATGTCTTCTGACAAAAAACAGGAATCAAGGACACCTCAACAAAACAATGCATTTTCTTTGAATTGTGCATGTCCACTTTCAAATATGTCAGTGAAATCCAATTAGAATCCATGCAACAAGCTAACCTGGAATGAAAAGTGAAAGGCTATTTTTGAACCACTAGCCAAAGCTAACGAATAAGGCCCCAGGTATTGGACCTCAAGGCCACCATCACTGCTTGAACGTGGAGCTATTTTGTAGTTTGATTGGGTCCGTGAGGCCCCTATCAGGCGGGATGATACGGGGCCATGGCTCCTGGGTTCTCAGGTCTAATTTGCCTGTACTTCTCCCCTCAAAGAGAGACGGGCATAATTAACAGGACCCAAACACCCACCGTGGGCTGAACAGAGTCATTTAGGGGAGCGACTCGGGAGGAACGGCAGCAAATGAAATGTAATTGCAATGGGAGCAGAGGAGCCGGGCTGGTGTGTCGGAGTCACTGATGTGTGTGTCAGAGGGAGACAGAGAATGAACAGGCCAGACACGAGGGAATGAGGGAGTAAATGAAAGACACAGAAGTTAGATAAAGAATATGCAGTTGAGAGCAAAACACAGACTGATGAGTGATCGTGAGCGACAGGCAGAGATAAACCAAGAGGAGCTATTCCTTCAGGTTAGTATAAAAAACTACTGCACCTTAAAACTCTACACAAAGTTGAATCTAGGTTAAAGGATCAGTTCACCCAAATTAGATTGAAAAAAGACATTATCTTGCCAACCTCTGGTGGAATCTGGCCATGTCGATAGTTGTGTTGTCATTTCCCCAGGTTTTTGCGATATCTGCCTCTGCCTATCTTGCTGTGATGGAGGTAAATGGAATTTTGTTGTGGTGCTCACAGCATTGAAATTACATTAAAATTCAACAGTGATGCCTCATTCCAGAAACAGTTTCTTGTGACTCAGAATAATCCACAGGAGGCACTGTCAACAGTTTTAATGGGAACTATTTCTTTCAGTTGAAAATAGTTTCGGTCGAAGTAAAGTCTTTGGATTATGTTAAGTAATTAGGACAGTGTTTCTAGAAAAAGATGTCGTTGCTGAATTTATTTTTTATTTCCCTTTTCAATGCTGTGAAACAGCAAGGAAAATCCGTTCAGTTCCACTGTATTTTACTGGTTGCAGAAGTCTCAGAGATGGAAATCTAAAAAAATAGGGCAAGACTGATACAATCTGCATGAAGAGATACCACTAGAGATAAATGAGGAAACATGTTTTTGCAATTTGGGGGAATCAAATATTGGTTTTCTTTTGATATTTCTTTGGCCCATTGGTTGAATCATATGTGATTCTCTCCAAACAATCTTTTAAATATTAAAAAGCAGAAACAGAAACAGAAATATTCCTAAAAAAACTGGAACTGCCCCTTTCAAAGTTAAAAGTTGCTGCAGTTGAACTTTATCCCCACTTCAAACCCAGCATAATGCATTGAGTCCATCGCATTTACAAATGCAATCTTTCATCTTCACAGTCATTACCATTATTTATCACCAATGTGAAGAGCATTCAAATTGGCATTGACCTACTTGGTGCATCCACTAGCTCTCCCCCACTACAATTTCACCTATCCCTCTCTCTTCCCCATCATCCCTCCCTTTGTCCCTCTCAGTTTACGGAGCACTGGATGAGAAGTGACCCTGGGTCAACTATGTTCCTGTCGCTTCCAGGCACGGGCAGCCCAAAACAAATTGGGGTCACCGGGATGTTGGAGTGGTGTGATCACACACACACAGACAAACACACACACATGCTTGTGCAGATGGCTGAGTGTAGATAAGGGTAGATAACAGTGATAGTGTCTTATCACTGTGTACTTTAAGAGAGTGTAAAGGATCTGCGGTAGATCTCTTCCAGCAGCTGGTACAGTAACACTGTAGTTGTGAATCTGACTACGTACTATGTTTTATTTTGTGACTTAAGCAACATGATGTGTGGATTAGAGTCACCAGGTGTGGTCTTGGCTGGTAATTAACAGAAAAAGCCCCCATTAAAATGAAAATGAGCTTTGAATGTAAAATTGGTTGGAGGAAGCACAGGGTCAACGAGACAATTTTAAATGCCTGCTGTCCCTTAATTGCCATTTAAAGTTATCATTAGAGGTGGTTTTAAATGACCTTTAAGCCTAACATATGAAAGCAATAAAAGCAGAGATAAGGCTAATAACTAGTTTGACAGGGGATAAAAATAAATGCTGTTGGGTGATCAGTCATTTTCTGGACTCACAGATTGTGACCCTTGCAAGTACTACACACTAAAGAATCTAAATGCCATTTAAAGGAACCTACTAGAGATAGTATAACAACACAACCTTGTAAATCAAAGAGAGCCAAACTTTATTTTTACCTTTTCACCTTCCCTGCCCTGGTACTTCCCAATCCCCCTTTTCTTTCTGTGTTTTCCCCAGTGATTCATCTGACTGAATGTAGCTTAGGGTACTTTCTTCTTCTTTCCCATTCTTCCATCATTTCACCCCCCTTCAATATCCCCAAGGCGGTATCTTACTATGTGCAGCTCCAGATAATCTCCCAGTCCCTTGGCACTCTCTACCCTGACCAGAACGGCCTCCTTCAGCTGCGTGCTGAAGCCCACTGCCAGCCGGTCTGCCCGTGTGCTCGGCCGGTCATTGGGTGGCCAGGTATATGTGATGAGGGCTCCGCCTCGCCCGAAGATGTAAGTTGTCCCAGCTGCAAAACACAAAGAGGGTAGAAAAATAGGTGTTATCACTGAGTTAGAACATAATAACAACTCTTTAAAAGCTGGAAAGAAAGATGTTAGTTGTGTTTTCAAACACAAACGTAGAATATTTGCAGTCCTACAACAGAAAATAATACGATTGCAAAGGCTGACATGACATTATGTTTTGTCAAAACATTTCATATAACTGCCATTTATGAATTATCTTCTTTCACATATTCTTTTGTTGTGTTGAAGTTTATGAAAATAAGCTGCAATAATATAATTTCCTTTCTCTGAATTGAATACTACTTAAAGAGTGCATGATAAATATAATTTTGTGCTTTAAGTTTCAAACCCACATACTGACTAACAACAAGAACTCTATTCACTAGCATTTCTATGAAGAGAAAAATGTCAAAATCAGTAGCCTGATTATCGTACTTTACTTTATGCACATAATAATAATGATACAACAAACCTATTATGTGGCAGTGTATCATGAAGTCATGTTTAGCTTTAGCACTAGTACTAGCACCAGTGTTGGCTGTCACTCCCCTTTGAAATGTTAATCTGCTGAGCCACTGCAGTTTCAGTTGCACTCAGCTGCCTGCAGTTGCGTTGCATCCAAACTAGGGCGAACTGACAAACTTTATGTTGGCTATGCTGTCAGTATAACCACCACCCCTCAACGTCAACAAAAGAAATTCCTCAGATCTCCCTGTCAAAGGAACTTTGCCTCAACAGTATTTTGAGTTCCAACCGAGAAAAAAAAACCCTCCTCGTGCACTGAGCGATTTCATGTTTGAACCGTAAAAGAGTTAGGACTTGGTTGGGCTCCAATATGCCTGGTGGTGAATGAGAAATGATGGGTGTTGGCTGTGATTAGCATAGAGTAATGAAACCACAGGGAACTGCTCTCAGCCCTGTGGGTCATAAATCATAAATACACATACTGTACATATAAAGACAGGCTGTATGTGTAGATACTAATGCATGTATATGTAGCTATACGAAGAAACTCACTCAAAATGCACACACAGTTGCATTACCCCTTTTTTTATCGTTTTTAGTAACAATATTGACGACACGGGTAATAAAAGCTGCCCAGTTAAATTGAACTGAAATGCCATTATCAAGATTATCAATGTTCTCTTATGTGACTCATGAGTTAAACTTTTAGACACAAAATACCCTAGAGTAAGAGTATACTGAGTATACAAGAGTATACTGACTGACTGAAGAGCAGGATAGTCTCTTTCATATTTAGATTTGATGTTGTTTTGTACATGACATTCTGCTTTCTGAACAAAATATTTATTCTAGTTTCCAGATAAATAAGGTTCTTTCAAGTTTTGTTTTACTACACAATTTGGCCCCTGGTTATGTGTCAGAAAAAAAGTTTAAACTAAATTTTCTAGAACCCAATGATGCCTTCAAATAGCTTCTTGACTGTTTCCAGGTAACAGTCCAAAGGCCAAAGATTTTCAATTTGCACAAAGAAACTAACAAAAGCCTCACTTTTTAAATGCTGCAACAGGCAAGTGTTTGGCATTTTCCCTCGTTAAATGATTAATTATTGATTATTAATTATTGAAACAGTTTTTCTGCTGATTGGCTTCAATTAATGCACAAATTGTTCTAACTGCAGCACTAGATTCACATATGCGCAATAATGCATGAACACGGTAGTGGATAACATGGGTTCTCATCCTGTACCCACGCTTGTGAAAGTACATACACGTGAGCACATACACTCAGACACACACATTTGTCCTTGTTTTGTCATGCCCTACAAATCTCTCTCTCTAGGTGTGCTCTGGTCAGAGAGGATGGCTGCAGAGGCTGTGATGACTGCAGGGCCAACAGGCCTTCAAACAACAACCACAGCAACAGGCCACACACTCTTAGTCATACACAGGGAAGAGGAAGGCTGATAAAGAATGGAGACATGCAGTCTTCTTGTGCACACACACACACACA